GCGTGAATACAACCAGTGACGTCACAAGGTCCTTAAATTCGGTTCCAGAGCCCGGACACAGTTTTGCTCCAAAAAGTCGATTTCAGCAGCTAAAAAAAGTACTTTCCGTTAGGATTTGACAGAAATAATGTTCACCATTATTTTAAGCACGTTTGAAACTACAAATTGGGCTAATAAAAGAGAGTACGAACATTTCGTTTCAGTGGCACTTTAAGGGCCTATAATTTAATGGTAGAGACTGAAAGAGTGCATCAGTCAGAATCTGGAGGTTTCAACGCTTCCGTTCATGGGTGGAATAAGTGGGAGGCCTTATTTGACACGAGTAAAGAACAAAAACGTTTCTCTGCAGATACTCTATCAATTTGGGTTAAGAACATGCGGCTCCATAAATGATGGTCTGCTAGATGCTAGATTAGATCACAGATTAGGTCAGCTAGATTACAGAGCGTGCGTGAAGCAAACATCCTAAGATCCTTGCTTCGTGGTTCAGTGATTTTGAAAGAACTCTCCGTTCCGATTGAAACCCCCCCCCCTCCCCCGGGGTGCTCGTCGGAAAATTTTGAGAGAACCCCTAAGAGGTACCAAGATCCTGTTTTGTGGGCGTGGCTTGGAATTGTTTTCATCCCTAAGAGATACCAACTCTGAAATAAAATGTTATCTCCTGTCATACATTTTTCGGCTCAGTACTCTAAAAGGTACCGCAAAAGCTCTCTCTTTGGACCTTTTGAGGCTGAACACACTAAGAGGTACTAAAACCGCGTTTTTAACCCCTTAAAGGTACGACGATCACCCCCGTCCTTTTTATATGGGAATTTCCCCCCCCCCCGGGATGAAGAAGGGTTGTAGAGTTGCAAAAGAAAGCCGATTTCTTGAGTGTTCTCTCTTTTATGTTTTGTAGACTCTAAGGCGGGTATTATACACATGCAAAAACATTTGGTCTCAGGAAATAATGAAAGAATAAAACGTGCAAATGTCTTACATGTTTCAAGAACAAATCAATTCTGATGAAAGAGAAAAAAATGGAAACACTTACAGGACCAGTTATATCCTTCACTTTGAAACCTTGCTCAATCATAAAAAAAAGTGAGAGTTGCATGTTCGTTACTTATGTCAAATGATGGTCTCCCACGTATTCCACCTCCATGGACGGAAGCACTGTGGGGCTTCCAGATTCTGAATGTGTTTCCTTCCTCAGTCTCTACCATTAAACTGTAAACACCTGTAAGTCCTTTTGATTATTTCTTTCACAAAGTCATAATATCCAAATAGCCTAGAGTCTATAACCGAAGAAAGATAAGACTGAATAACTCCTAAAATGTAGCCTTACTCGCTTCTTCTATTGCTGGTTTTCAGTGTCACGCAATTCAAACTAGATCAAAATAAAAATCAAAACCGGTCAATAGACAAAGTCCAGAATCTGTGAAATGAAAGAAGGTAAATATGTTAAGACTCTCGCCAAAATTCTGGTCACAGCAATGTTTCTTATGCGAGATATGCGGAGAAATTTTTTACCCAAATTTATAGAGATTTGTATGGAGACGCCATGCTGGTGCCCATCCGTATGGGCACCAACATGGCGGCCGGAAACCAACAGAAACATCTGTCACTGAGTTTYGCTRCAAAAGCGTGAATTTATCCCTCGAGGAACTCTAAAACATTAAAATAAYMCTTTTTCTAAGACATGAAYTGTTCMGATAGCCAAGTTCCCCGAAATARGTCACTTTTTTTAACCATCATGGCAGCTCTCTAGGCCGTCATGTAAGTGCCGCATCACGCAAAAGCCTAGCTGTCATGATGGTTAAAACCATCATGACAGCTCTCTAGGCCGTCATGTAAATRCCGCGTCACGCAAAAGCTTAGAAATTCAAGCGCAGTGTATCACAAAACCAAGAACCCATTCGGAGCGAAAATTTGTATGAATATTAGTTTTCAGCTGCTCTTACATCTCATTTAAGTAAAATCTCAGGAAGATCAATAGTTTTGTAGATCGAATTTTGGTGACGTCATGTGAAAACCAGCTATTCTAGGCCCAATTAACGCTACCATAATTAGGTTCGTCGTGAGGCATGCCCGAACATTAGCACAGCAAAATGTAGCAGAGCAGGGTAACACGCCGAGAGACAGAGAGTGAATTCTTACTAGATGAATACTTAAATAGTCTCAATACCGAAAGATCGAGAGACTACAGACGATCCCCTGGAAATCAGTGTATTCCAAAACTCACAGAATACATATATCTTATTAGATGTTTTGGTGTGTAGTATCGCTGTATATTTTTACGAGTTGTGCCGTATTTTGACGAGCCCGTAGGGCGAGTCAAAATACAAACAACGAGTTATTAAAGAGTTGTTAAAGGAAGCCGACTTCTTGAGTGCTTTCTCTTGGGAAAGAATTATGGACAATTTGAAGTGTAATTAGTTGTTCGTACGTCATGTTTATCAGTGGTTAGTTAGATGGGTTCAATGATTTTCAAAGAAATCTCCGTTTCGGTTCAAAACTCGCTGACAGGGTTGCAGAGTTGCGAAAGAAAGCCGAGTTCTTGAGAGCTCTATTTTTTCTTCGGTTGTGATAAACACTTACAACGAAAAGAACGTATCGGCAATTTGGGAGGTAATTAGTTGATCTCATGGGGTGGCTGGCAATGGTTGGTTGGATAGGTTCATTGGTTTTCAAAGAAATCTCCGTTTTTGGTCAAAACTCGCCGACAGGGTTGCAGACTTTCAAAAGAAGGACGACTTCTTAAATGTTCTCTCTTTTATGTTTGTAGACTCTGAAGCGCACTCTCATGATTATCCCTTAAGGGTATTTACACATGGATGATATATTTGCTCTCACACATAAAGAATAAGATCAGTCAAAACGTCTTATTCTTCAAGAACAGACCAGTAATGTCGAAAGAGAAAAAAGGGAAACGCTAACAGGATGACATAGATCCTTCACTTTGAAACCCTGCTCAATAGAAAAAAAAAAAAGAAAAATGACATTTGTACGTTCTTTACTAAAGTCAAGTGATAGCCTCTCACATATTCCACCTCCATGGACAGAAGCGCCCGGTGTAACCTCCAGATCCTGGCTGTGATTTACTTTTTGAGTCACTACCATTAAACTATAAACCCTTTTGATTATTTCTGTTACAATGAAAGTCATCAATATCCAAGTAGCCTAGGGTTGATAACTGAGGTAGAATTAGACGATAACTTCCAAAATGTCGCTTTACCCGCTTCTTGTATCTCAGGACCAACGCATCCCCGAGACATTAGCAAAGCAAACTGTACCACCTACTAAAGAAGGGCCAAGCCCGAAACGTTTAGTTTACAAGCAGCTACATATTTAATAAACTGTACCAGTGTTGGTTATACGCCGAGAGAGTGAATTCTCACTAAAAGAATATTATTACAGTCCTAACATCGAAAGCTCAGGAGACTACAGGCCACCTCCTGGAAATAAGCGCATAACAAACCGCACAGAATAGAATATATGCTAAACTTCATATTGCACGTAATCACTATGTTATTTCAGCGAAAATAAGTACACGACCACACTCGACACACTCGAGTAGAATGAAAATGAAGACGAAACTTACCTCTTTATCGGACTGTCAGAGTTTGCGGGGAGCAGGCAGTTTGCGCGATAATGTATCTAAAATGTATGCATATCCACTACAGCTCTCTGTTGATGACAATGTGATCTACAACTATTGGGCGAAGATTTAGGGTTCAGCGATTTTCAAAGACATCTCCGTTTCGGTTCAAAACTCGTCGAAGGGGCTGTAGGTTTGCGAAAGAAAACCAGCTTCTTACGTAAGTGTTCTCTCTTTGCTTCGAATGTGGTAAACATTATCAATAATGGAAAGAATTAAACTTAGCGGCAATTTGCAAGGTAGTTAGTTGTTCTTATGGAGTGGTTAGCGTGATTATTTGGTTGAGTTCAGTGATTTTCATAGAAATCTCCGTTTCGGGTCAAAACTCGCTGACAGGTTTGCAGATTCGCGAAAGAAAGCCGATTTCCAGGGTGTTCTTTCTTTTATGTTCTGTAGACTCTAAAGCGCCAATTCATGATTTTTCCCCCGAGGGTATTCTACACATTAAAGACATATTTACTCTCACAAATAAACGAAGAAAACCGGTCAAAACGTCTTACAGGATTCAAGAAAATATCAATTGTGATGAAAAAACTCTTTCAGAATCACTTATATCCTTGACTTTGAAACCTTGTTCTATATCAAAACAAAGAAAGTTTTTCTTTACTTATGTCAAATGAAAGATTCCCAACCATTCCACCACATAGCAAAAAATGCTGTAGCTTGATCCAGATTCCGTGACTGATATACTCTTTCAGTCTCCCAGCATTAAACTACAGTATAAGCCTTTTCGATCATTTCATTTACAAAGTCATCAATTTCCAAATAGCCTAGCCTTGATAACCGAAGAAAAATTAGACGATTTTTTCAATTCCCAAAGTATGTCAAATATCGCTGTACTCGGTTCTTGAACTTCAGACCCCACGCTACCATAATTAGGTTCGTCGTGAGGTTTGACTGGACACGATCAAGATAAGACCACAGGACTAAATCTATCGTATAAATAATTACTGCATACTGTAGCTGAACATCCAGAATAACTATGCCAGAATATTAGCTAACCAAACTGTTCCAGTGCTCGTAACACGCCGAGAGAGCGAATTCTTTGTAAGGGAATTATTTCTGTTACAAAGTCATCAATATCCAAATAGCCTAGGGTTGATAACTGAGGTAGAATTAGACGATAACTTCCAAAATGTCGCTTTACCCGCTTCTTGTATCTCAGGACCAACGCATCCCCGAGACATTAGCAAAGCAAACTGTACCACCTACTAAAGAAGGGCCAAGCCCGAAACGTTTAGTTTACAAGCAGCTACATATTTAATAAACTGTACCAGTGTTGGTTATACGCCGAGAGAGTGAATTCTCACTAAAAGAATATTATTACAGTCCTAACATCGAAAGCTCAGGAGACTACAGGCCACCTCCTGGAAATAAGCGCATAACAAACCGCACAGAATAGAATATATGCTAAACTTCATATTGCACGTAATCACTATGTTATTTCAGCGAAAATAAGTACACGACCACACTCGACACACTCGAGTAGAATGAAAATGAAGACGAAACTTACCTCTTTATCGGACTGTCAGAGTTTGCGGGGAGCAGGCAGTTTGCGCGATAATGTATCTAAAATGTATGCATATCCACTACAGCTCTCTGTTGATGACAATGTGATCTACAACTATTGGGCGAAGATTTAGGGTTCAGCGATTTTCAAAGACATCTCCGTTTCGGTTCAAAACTCGTCGAAGGGGCTGTAGGTTTGCGAAAGAAAACCAGCTTCTTACGTAAGTGTTCTCTCTTTGCTTCGAATGTGGTAAACATTATCAATAATGGAAAGAATTAAACTTAGCGGCAATTTGCAAGGTAGTTAGTTGTTCTTATGGAGTGGTTAGCGTGATTATTTGGTTGAGTTCAGTGATTTTCATAGAAATCTCCGTTTCGGGTCAAAACTCGCTGACAGGTTTGCAGATTCGCGAAAGAAAGCCGATTTCCAGGGTGTTCTTTCTTTTATGTTCTGTAGACTCTAAAGCGCCAATTCATGATTTTTCCCCCGAGGGTATTCTACACATTAAAGACATATTTACTCTCACAAATAAACGAAGAAAACCGGTCAAAACGTCTTACAGGATTCAAGAAAATATCAATTGTGATGAAAAAACTCTTTCAGAATCACTTATATCCTTGACTTTGAAACCTTGTTCTATATCAAAACAAAGAAAGTTTTTCTTTACTTATGTCAAATGAAAGATTCCCAACCATTCCACCACATAGCAAAAAATGCTGTAGCTTGATCCAGATTCCGTGACTGATATACTCTTTCAGTCTCCCAGCATTAAACTACAGTATAAGCCTTTTCGATCATTTCATTTACAAAGTCATCAATTTCCAAATAGCCTAGCCTTGATAACCGAAGAAAAATTAGACGATTTTTTCAATTCCCAAAGTATGTCAAATATCGCTGTACTCGGTTCTTGAACTTCAGACCCCACGCTACCATAATTAGGTTCGTCGTGAGGTTTGACTGGACACGATCAAGATAAGACCACAGGACTAAATCTATCGTATAAATAATTACTGCATACTGTAGCTGAACATCCAGAATAACTATGCCAGAATATTAGCTAACCAAACTGTTCCAGTGCTCGTAACACGCCGAGAGAGCGAATTCTTTGTAAGGGAATTATTTCTGTTACAAAGTCATCAATATCCAAATAGCCTAGGGTTGATAACTGAGGTAGAATTAGACGATAACTTCCAAAATGTCGCTTTACCCGCTTCTTGTATCTCAGGACCAACGCATCCCCGAGACATTAGCAAAGCAAACTGTACCACCTACTAAAGAAGGGCCAAGCCCGAAACGTTTAGTTTACAAGCAGCTACATATTTAATAAACTGTACCAGTGTTGGTTATACGCCGAGAGAGTGAATTCTCACTAAAAGAATATTATTACAGTCCTAACATCGAAAGCTCAGGAGACTACAGGCCACCTCCTGGAAATAAGCGCATAACAAACCGCACAGAATAGAATATATGCTAAACTTCATATTGCACGTAATCACTATGTTATTTCAGCGAAAATAAGTACACGACCACACTCGACACACTCGAGTAGAATGAAAATGAAGACGAAACTTACCTCTTTATCGGACTGTCAGAGTTTGCGGGGAGCAGGCAGTTTGCGCGATAATGTATCTAAAATGTATGCATATCCACTACAGCTCTCTGTTGATGACAATGTGATCTACAACTATTGGGCGAAGATTTAGGGTTCAGCGATTTTCAAAGACATCTCCGTTTCGGTTCAAAACTCGTCGAAGGGGCTGTAGGTTTGCGAAAGAAAACCAGCTTCTTACGTAAGTGTTCTCTCTTTGCTTCGAATGTGGTAAACATTATCAATAATGGAAAGAATTAAACTTAGCGGCAATTTGCAAGGTAGTTAGTTGTTCTTATGGAGTGGTTAGCGTGATTATTTGGTTGAGTTCAGTGATTTTCATAGAAATCTCCGTTTCGGGTCAAAACTCGCTGACAGGTTTGCAGATTCGCGAAAGAAAGCCGATTTCCAGGGTGTTCTTTCTTTTATGTTCTGTAGACTCTAAAGCGCCAATTCATGATTTTTCCCCCGAGGGTATTCTACACATTAAAGACATATTTACTCTCACAAATAAACGAAGAAAACCGGTCAAAACGTCTTACAGGATTCAAGAAAATATCAATTGTGATGAAAAAACTCTTTCAGAATCACTTATATCCTTGACTTTGAAACCTTGTTCTATATCAAAACAAAGAAAGTTTTTCTTTACTTATGTCAAATGAAAGATTCCCAACCATTCCACCACATAGCAAAAAATGCTGTAGCTTGATCCAGATTCCGTGACTGATATACTCTTTCAGTCTCCCAGCATTAAACTACAGTATAAGCCTTTTCGATCATTTCATTTACAAAGTCATCAATTTCCAAATAGCCTAGCCTTGATAACCGAAGAAAAATTAGACGATTTTTTCAATTCCCAAAGTATGTCAAATATCGCTGTACTCGGTTCTTGAACTTCAGACCCCACGCTACCATAATTAGGTTCGTCGTGAGGTTTGACTGGACACGATCAAGATAAGACCACAGGACTAAATCTATCGTATAAATAATTACTGCATACTGTAGCTGAACATCCAGAATAACTATGCCAGAATATTAGCTAACCAAACTGTTCCAGTGCTCGTAACACGCCGAGAGAGCGAATTCTTTGTAAGGGAATTATTTCTGTTACAAAGTCATCAATATCCAAATAGCCTAGGGTTGATAACTGAGGTAGAATTAGACGATAACTTCCAAAATGTCGCTTTACCCGCTTCTTGTATCTCAGGACCAACGCATCCCCGAGACATTAGCAAAGCAAACTGTACCACCTACTAAAGAAGGGCCAAGCCCGAAACGTTTAGTTTACAAGCAGCTACATATTTAATAAACTGTACCAGTGTTGGTTATACGCCGAGAGAGTGAATTCTCACTAAAAGAATATTATTACAGTCCTAACATCGAAAGCTCAGGAGACTACAGGCCACCTCCTGGAAATAAGCGCATAACAAACCGCACAGAATAGAATATATGCTAAACTTCATATTGCACGTAATCACTATGTTATTTCAGCGAAAATAAGTACACGACCACACTCGACACACTCGAGTAGAATGAAAATGAAGACGAAACTTACCTCTTTATCGGACTGTCAGAGTTTGCGGGGAGCAGGCAGTTTGCGCGATAATGTATCTAAAATGTATGCATATCCACTACAGCTCTCTGTTGATGACAATGTGATCTACAACTATTGGGCGAAGATTTAGGGTTCAGCGATTTTCAAAGACATCTCCGTTTCGGTTCAAAACTCGTCGAAGGGGCTGTAGGTTTGCGAAAGAAAACCAGCTTCTTACGTAAGTGTTCTCTCTTTGCTTCGAATGTGGTAAACATTATCAATAATGGAAAGAATTAAACTTAGCGGCAATTTGCAAGGTAGTTAGTTGTTCTTATGGAGTGGTTAGCGTGATTATTTGGTTGAGTTCAGTGATTTTCATAGAAATCTCCGTTTCGGGTCAAAACTCGCTGACAGGTTTGCAGATTCGCGAAAGAAAGCCGATTTCCAGGGTGTTCTTTCTTTTATGTTCTGTAGACTCTAAAGCGCCAATTCATGATTTTTCCCCCGAGGGTATTCTACACATTAAAGACATATTTACTCTCACAAATAAACGAAGAAAACCGGTCAAAACGTCTTACAGGATTCAAGAAAATATCAATTGTGATGAAAAAACTCTTTCAGAATCACTTATATCCTTGACTTTGAAACCTTGTTCTATATCAAAACAAAGAAAGTTTTTCTTTACTTATGTCAAATGAAAGATTCCCAACCATTCCACCACATAGCAAAAAATGCTGTAGCTTGATCCAGATTCCGTGACTGATATACTCTTTCAGTCTCCCAGCATTAAACTACAGTATAAGCCTTTTCGATCATTTCATTTACAAAGTCATCAATTTCCAAATAGCCTAGCCTTGATAACCGAAGAAAAATTAGACGATTTTTTCAATTCCCAAAGTATGTCAAATATCGCTGTACTCGGTTCTTGAACTTCAGACCCCACGCTACCATAATTAGGTTCGTCGTGAGGTTTGACTGGACACGATCAAGATAAGACCACAGGACTAAATCTATCGTATAAATAATTACTGCATACTGTAGCTGAACATCCAGAATAACTATGCCAGAATATTAGCTAACCAAACTGTTCCAGTGCTCGTAACACGCCGAGAGAGCGAATTCTTTGTAAGGGAATTATTTCTGTTACAAAGTCATCAATATCCAAATAGCCTAGGGTTGATAACTGAGGTAGAATTAGACGATAACTTCCAAAATGTCGCTTTACCCGCTTCTTGTATCTCAGGACCAACGCATCCCCGAGACATTAGCAAAGCAAACTGTACCACCTACTAAAGAAGGGCCAAGCCCGAAACGTTTAGTTTACAAGCAGCTACATATTTAATAAACTGTACCAGTGTTGGTTATACGCCGAGAGAGTGAATTCTCACTAAAAGAATATTATTACAGTCCTAACATCGAAAGCTCAGGAGACTACAGGCCACCTCCTGGAAATAAGCGCATAACAAACCGCACAGAATAGAATATATGCTAAACTTCATATTGCACGTAATCACTATGTTATTTCAGCGAAAATAAGTACACGACCACACTCGACACACTCGAGTAGAATGAAAATGAAGACGAAACTTACCTCTTTATCGGACTGTCAGAGTTTGCGGGGAGCAGGCAGTTTGCGCGATAATGTATCTAAAATGTATGCATATCCACTACAGCTCTCTGTTGATGACAATGTGATCTACAACTATTGGGCGAAGATTTAGGGTTCAGCGATTTTCAAAGACATCTCCGTTTCGGTTCAAAACTCGTCGAAGGGGCTGTAGGTTTGCGAAAGAAAACCAGCTTCTTACGTAAGTGTTCTCTCTTTGCTTCGAATGTGGTAAACATTATCAATAATGGAAAGAATTAAACTTAGCGGCAATTTGCAAGGTAGTTAGTTGTTCTTATGGAGTGGTTAGCGTGATTATTTGGTTGAGTTCAGTGATTTTCATAGAAATCTCCGTTTCGGGTCAAAACTCGCTGACAGGTTTGCAGATTCGCGAAAGAAAGCCGATTTCCAGGGTGTTCTTTCTTTTATGTTCTGTAGACTCTAAAGCGCCAATTCATGATTTTTCCCCCGAGGGTATTCTACACATTAAAGACATATTTACTCTCACAAATAAACGAAGAAAACCGGTCAAAACGTCTTACAGGATTCAAGAAAATATCAATTGTGATGAAAAAACTCTTTCAGAATCACTTATATCCTTGACTTTGAAACCTTGTTCTATATCAAAACAAAGAAAGTTTTTCTTTACTTATGTCAAATGAAAGATTCCCAACCATTCCACCACATAGCAAAAAATGCTGTAGCTTGATCCAGATTCCGTGACTGATATACTCTTTCAGTCTCCCAGCATTAAACTACAGTATAAGCCTTTTCGATCATTTCATTTACAAAGTCATCAATTTCCAAATAGCCTAGCCTTGATAACCGAAGAAAAATTAGACGATTTTTTCAATTCCCAAAGTATGTCAAATATCGCTGTACTCGGTTCTTGAACTTCAGACCCCACGCTACCATAATTAGGTTCGTCGTGAGGTTTGACTGGACACGATCAAGATAAGACCACAGGACTAAATCTATCGTATAAATAATTACTGCATACTGTAGCTGAACATCCAGAATAACTATGCCAGAATATTAGCTAACCAAACTGTTCCAGTGCTCGTAACACGCCGAGAGAGCGAATTCTTTGTAAGGGAATTATTTCTGTTACAAAGTCATCAATATCCAAATAGCCTAGGGTTGATAACTGAGGTAGAATTAGACGATAACTTCCAAAATGTCGCTTTACCCGCTTCTTGTATCTCAGGACCAACGCATCCCCGAGACATTAGCAAAGCAAACTGTACCACCTACTAAAGAAGGGCCAAGCCCGAAACGTTTAGTTTACAAGCAGCTACATATTTAATAAACTGTACCAGTGTTGGTTATACGCCGAGAGAGTGAATTCTCACTAAAAGAATATTATTACAGTCCTAACATCGAAAGCTCAGGAGACTACAGGCCACCTCCTGGAAATAAGCGCATAACAAACCGCACAGAATAGAATATATGCTAAACTTCATATTGCACGTAATCACTATGTTATTTCAGCGAAAATAAGTACACGACCACACTCGACACACTCGAGTAGAATGAAAATGAAGACGAAACTTACCTCTTTATCGGACTGTCAGAGTTTGCGGGGAGCAGGCAGTTTGCGCGATAATGTATCTAAAATGTATGCATATCCACTACAGCTCTCTGTTGATGACAATGTGATCTACAACTATTGGGCGAAGATTTAGGGTTCAGCGATTTTCAAAGACATCTCCGTTTCGGTTCAAAACTCGTCGAAGGGGCTGTAGGTTTGCGAAAGAAAACCAGCTTCTTACGTAAGTGTTCTCTCTTTGCTTCGAATGTGGTAAACATTATCAATAATGGAAAGAATTAAACTTAGCGGCAATTTGCAAGGTAGTTAGTTGTTCTTATGGAGTGGTTAGCGTGATTATTTGGTTGAGTTCAGTGATTTTCATAGAAATCTCCGTTTCGGGTCAAAACTCGCTGACAGGTTTGCAGATTCGCGAAAGAAAGCCGATTTCCAGGGTGTTCTTTCTTTTATGTTCTGTAGACTCTAAAGCGCCAATTCATGATTTTTCCCCCGAGGGTATTCTACACATTAAAGACATATTTACTCTCACAAATAAACGAAGAAAACCGGTCAAAACGTCTTACAGGATTCAAGAAAATATCAATTGTGATGAAAAAACTCTTTCAGAATCACTTATATCCTTGACTTTGAAACCTTGTTCTATATCAAAACAAAGAAAGTTTTTCTTTACTTATGTCAAATGAAAGATTCCCAACCATTCCACCACATAGCAAAAAATGCTGTAGCTTGATCCAGATTCCGTGACTGATATACTCTTTCAGTCTCCCAGCATTAAACTACAGTATAAGCCTTTTCGATCATTTCATTTACAAAGTCATCAATTTCCAAATAGCCTAGCCTTGATAACCGAAGAAAAATTAGACGATTTTTTCAATTCCCAAAGTATGTCAAATATCGCTGTACTCGGTTCTTGAACTTCAGACCCCACGCTACCATAATTAGGTTCGTCGTGAGGTTTGACTGGACACGATCAAGATAAGACCACAGGACTAAATCTATCGTATAAATAATTACTGCATACTGTAGCTGAACATCCAGAATAACTATGCCAGAATATTAGCTAACCAAACTGTTCCAGTGCTCGTAACACGCCGAGAGAGCGAATTCTTTGTAAGGGAATTATTTCTGTTACAAAGTCATCAATATCCAAATAGCCTAGGGTTGATAACTGAGGTAGAATTAGACGATAACTTCCAAAATGTCGCTTTACCCGCTTCTTGTATCTCAGGACCAACGCATCCCCGAGACATTAGCAAAGCAAACTGTACCACCTACTAAAGAAGGGCCAAGCCCGAAACGTTTAGTTTACAAGCAGCTACATATTTAATAAACTGTACCAGTGTTGGTTATACGCCGAGAGAGTGAATTCTCACTAAAAGAATATTATTACAGTCCTAACATCGAAAGCTCAGGAGACTACAGGCCACCTCCTGGAAATAAGCGCATAACAAACCGCACAGAATAGAATATATGCTAAACTTCATATTGCACGTAATCACTATGTTATTTCAGCGAAAATAAGTACACGACCACACTCGACACACTCGAGTAGAATGAAAATGAAGACGAAACTTACCTCTTTATCGGACTGTCAGAGTTTGCGGGGAGCAGGCAGTTTGCGCGATAATGTATCTAAAATGTATGCATATCCACTACAGCTCTCTGTTGATGACAATGTGATCTACAACTATTGGGCGAAGATTTAGGGTTCAGCGATTTTCAAAGACATCTCCGTTTCGGTTCAAAACTCGTCGAAGGGGCTGTAGGTTTGCGAAAGAAAACCAGCTTCTTACGTAAGTGTTCTCTCTTTGCTTCGAATGTGGTAAACATTATCAATAATGGAAAGAATTAAACTTAGCGGCAATTTGCAAGGTAGTTAGTTGTTCTTATGGAGTGGTTAGCGTGATTATTTGGTTGAGTTCAGTGATTTTCATAGAAATCTCCGTTTCGGGTCAAAACTCGCTGACAGGTTTGCAGATTCGCGAAAGAAAGCCGATTTCCAGGGTGTTCTTTCTTTTATGTTCTGTAGACTCTAAAGCGCCAATTCATGATTTTTCCCCCGAGGGTATTCTACACATTAAAGACATATTTACTCTCACAAATAAACGAAGAAAACCGGTCAAAACGTCTTACAGGATTCAAGAAAATATCAATTGTGATGAAAAAACTCTTTCAGAATCACTTATATCCTTGACTTTGAAACCTTGTTCTATATCAAAACAAAGAAAGTTTTTCTTTACTTATGTCAAATGAAAGATTCCCAACCATTCCACCACATAGCAAAAAATGCTGTAGCTTGATCCAGATTCCGTGACTGATATACTCTTTCAGTCTCCCAGCATTAAACTACAGTATAAGCCTTTTCGATCATTTCATTTACAAAGTCATCAATTTCCAAATAGCCTAGCCTTGATAACCGAAGAAAAATTAGACGATTTTTTCAATTCCCAAAGTATGTCAAATATCGCTGTACTCGGTTCTTGAACTTCAGACCCCACGCTACCATAATTAGGTTCGTCGTGAGGTTTGACTGGACACGATCAAGATAAGACCACAGGACTAAATCTATCGTATAAATAATTACTGCATACTGTAGCTGAACATCCAGAATAACTATGCCAGAATATTAGCTAACCAAACTGTTCCAGTGCTCGTAACACGCCGAGAGAGCGAATTCTTTGTAAGGGAATTATTTCTGTTACAAAGTCATCAATATCCAAATAGCCTAGGGTTGATAACTGAGGTAGAATTAGACGATAACTTCCAAAATGTCGCTTTACCCGCTTCTTGTATCTCAGGACCAACGCATCCCCGAGACATTAGCAAAGCAAACTGTACCACCTACTAAAGAAGGGCCAAGCCCGAAACGTTTAGTTTACAAGCAGCTACATATTTAATAAACTGTACCAGTGTTGGTTATACGCCGAGAGAGTGAATTCTCACTAAAAGAATATTATTACAGTCCTAACATCGAAAGCTCAGGAGACTACAGGCCACCTCCTGGAAATAAGCGCATAACAAACCGCACAGAATAGAATATATGCTAAACTTCATATTGCACGTAATCACTATGTTATTTCAGCGAAAATAAGTACACGACCACACTCGACACACTCGAGTAGAATGAAAATGAAGACGAAACTTACCTCTTTATCGGACTGTCAGAGTTTGCGGGGAGCAGGCAGTTTGCGCGATAATGTATCTAAAATGTATGCATATCCACTACAGCTCTCTGTTGATGACAATGTGATCTACAACTATTGGGCGAAGATTTAGGGTTCAGCGATTTTCAAAGACATCTCCGTTTCGGTTCAAAACTCGTCGAAGGGGCTGTAGGTTTGCGAAAGAAAACCAGCTTCTTACGTAAGTGTTCTCTCTTTGCTTCGAATGTGGTAAACATTATCAATAATGGAAAGAATTAAACTTAGCGGCAATTTGCAAGGTAGTTAGTTGTTCTTATGGAGTGGTTAGCGTGATTATTTGGTTGAGTTCAGTGATTTTCATAGAAATCTCCGTTTCGGGTCAAAACTCGCTGACAGGTTTGCAGATTCGCGAAAGAAAGCCGATTTCCAGGGTGTTCTTTCTTTTATGTTCTGTAGACTCTAAAGCGCCAATTCATGATTTTTCCCCCGAGGGTATTCTACACATTAAAGACATATTTACTCTCACAAATAAACGAAGAAAACCGGTCAAAACGTCTTACAGGATTCAAGAAAATATCAATTGTGATGAAAAAACTCTTTCAGAATCACTTATATCCTTGACTTTGAAACCTTGTTCTATATCAAAACAAAGAAAGTTTTTCTTTACTTATGTCAAATGAAAGATTCCCAACCATTCCACCACATAGCAAAAAATGCTGTAGCTTGATCCAGATTCCGTGACTGATATACTCTTTCAGTCTCCCAGCATTAAACTACAGTATAAGCCTTTTCGATCATTTCATTTACAAAGTCATCAATTTCCAAATAGCCTAGCCTTGATAACCGAAGAAAAATTAGACGATTTTTTCAATTCCCAAAGTATGTCAAATATCGCTGTACTCGGTTCTTGAACTTCAGACCCCACGCTACCATAATTAGGTTCGTCGTGAGGTTTGACTGGACACGATCAAGATAAGACCACAGGACTAAATCTATCGTATAAATAATTACTGCATACTGTANCAAATCGAACTCGCGCTGCGCACTCGTTCGATTTTGAAATCACGCGTATGATTTCAGACCAAATTGCACTCCACTCAGTTCAATTACCATTATAAATAGCCCAGCCTTGATAACCGAAGAAAAATTAGACGATTTTTTCAACTCCCAAAATATGTCAAATATCGCTGTACTCGGTTCTTGAACTTCAGACCCTACGCTACCATAATTAGGTTCGCCGTGAGGCGTGACTGGACACGGTCAAGATAAGACAACGTTGATTTAATTGCACTTAATTTTGTACAGAACTAAATATATCGTACAAATAAATAATACATACTGTAGCTGAACATCCAGAATAACTATGCCAGAATATTAGCTAAGCAAACTGTTCCAGTGCTCGTAACACGCCGAGAGAGCGAATTCTTTGTAAGGGAATACTTAAGTGGTCGCAACACTGGAAGCTCAGGAGACTGCAGACGACCTCCTGGGAATAAGCGCAGCTTCCAAAACGCACAGAATTTGACTATATGCTCAACTTCGAAGTATTATTTCAGGGAAAAGACCATATGAGCTACATAACCACACTCGAGTAGAAGCAAAATGGAACTTACCTTTGCTATATCGGACTCTCAGAGTTTGGGAGCAGACAGTTTGTGCACTGATATATCGGAATGTATGCATATCCAATAAAAGTAACTCTGTCTGCATAGGGCTCAGTGATTTTCAAAGAACTCTCCGTTTCAGTTCAAAACTCGCTGAAAGGGTTGTAGAGTTGCGAAAGAAAACCGACATCTGGAGTGTTCTCTCTTTTCTTTGGCTGAGGTATACACTAACAAGGAAAAAAAACTTAGGAACAATTTGCAAGGTAATTAGTAGCTTTTACAGGATGGTTGGCAGTGGTTGATTGGTCGAGTTCAGTGATTTTCAAAAAAATCTCCGTTTCGGTTCAAACCTCGCTGACAGTGTTGTAGAGTTGCGAAAGAAAGCTGATTTCTTGAATATTCTCTCTTTTATATTCTGTGGACTCTAAAGGGCCAATTCATGATTATTATATACGTCGAGGGTATTTTACACATCGGTGACATATTTGCTCTCACAAAATAATAAACAAATAAAATCGGACTAAACTTCTTACATGCCTCAAGAACAGATCAATTATTATATCTGCATATCCAGTACAACACCCTGTGGGTAATACTGTGGTCTGCAGAAGATTTAGGTGTCAGTGATATTCAAAGAACTCTTCGTTTCGGTCCATAAATTACTGATGGGCTTGCAGAGAAGTTAAAAGGCCTACTTTTGGAGTGTTCTCTCTGTACTTAATCTTGACTCATGGAGGACATATCTGCTTTCATAAATAAACGAATAAATGTGGTCAAAACGTCTTGCAGGATTCAAGAAAAGATCAATTCTGATGGAAGACAAAAAAGGGAAACTCTTATTGGATCACTCACGTCCTTCGGCTTTGAACCTTGCGCGATAAAAAATGAGAGTTGCTCTTTACTTATGTCAAATAAGGTCTCCCACGTATTCCACCTCTATGGACAGAAGCTCTGTAACCTGCAGATTTTGACTAATTTACTCTCTCAATCGCTACCACGAAACTATAAGCCCTTCCGATCATTTCCGTTACACAGTTATCAATATCCAATGTTTACTAGAATTCTCTGCATGTAGCTAGTGAAGTTTACGGATCAGAATCTGGAAGACTCGTTCGTCGTTACTTGACCTTATTGTGCTTTCCAGCCTATGATAATCCAAGACTCTTAAAACATTACGAACAGTTTCAAGCAAGAACGATGTGACGCCCTTAATTTGGCAATCACTACACACATATGTGTAGAAACCAATCCTCCGCCTAGCCCCAGTCCGCGCGGCTATGCATAAATAATTCGACCTTCGCGCGGGTTATGTAAATCGCGAAGAATTTCGCTCGAGTTCACAAGTTATGACAACGTTACGTTTTTTTATTCTGTTTCGATCGCCGTATTCCCAAATCGTCAGGTAATGTCCTCTTTTTTCGTTTGTCTCGTATTTCCTATCTTTTTTCTTTTGTTGTAATCAGTTGTTCCGCTCTTAGTGTATTATGTTTGTAACCTTTATCCTAGAAACCACTGGAAACGACTTGTGTAGTTAAGTTAAGACTTCGAGTTGTTCACAATTGTATTAAGGTAATTCCTCACATTTGCATTGCGCATCCTTACTACGCATAATTTATGGCGTCATTAGCGCGCGCTCGTGCACGCGCATATTGAAAACATGACGGATTTGCCTTG